TGTGTGTGTGTGTGTGTGTGCGCGCGTGAAAATCACTAAGATTTCAACAAATATTTAATTCTGAAACGCATCATTTCAAACGTGTAGAGGATTTTGTGGTAAGAACTAAAGATTGAACCCATCGAGAGTAAATTGTGAATCTGTTTCTGAGAACAGGGCATATACCTCCAATCTCGTACAGAGAATTGTAGTGCACTTCACTCCAGAAACTCAGCCACAATTCTAAAAATTAAGAAAAGCTGTTAAAAGTATGAACACATAAGTTATAAAGATGAGAGAAAATTCAACACCCTAGGACGAATTAAGAATGCAAACCAGAGTATAAAGCAGTCCTATTTTTGTATTCATTGAACATGCATAATTTGCTCACCACTACACGGTTCTTCCATGGTAAGTATTGGAACAATGCATTTGAAACAAACAATGATCCGTCTTGAACCTAGCCAACGTTACTTAATCATTTAATTAGATTTTCCTAGATCATCACCAAACAGAATGTTTGCCTATTTAAAAAAGATCAGCTCAAGAACATCCTCAAACAAACATGATCTAAAATTGAACTTCCTCCGGAGAATGCATTCAGTTACTATAGTACTCCCTCCATTCCAATTTATGTGAGCCCCTGGGCACGAAGTTTAAGAAAGAAATAAAGACTTTTATAACTTGTGGTCCTAAACAAGCCATAACATTTGTGTGGCTATCAAACTTGTGGGTTAAACATTCCAGATTATTTGTGTGCCTATAGAAGGTTCTCATAAGGATATAATTGGAAGTTTAAGTTAAATTATTTCCAAATTTAGAAAGGGGCCATTCTTTTTGGCACAGACTAAAAAGGAAATAGGTTCACATAAACTGGAATGGAGGAGTACATGAAGAGAACTATCAAACACAAAACATCATCCGATGTTAGTTTATTTGCAGAGGATTATGTCTGTTGGTAGTAACAGCTAGCTAGCTATCTATGCAAGTACGTGCGCATTGCATTATGTGTGTGTAAAACAGACAAGAAGTATGTACCTCTAGAAGGCTGTATGCCCTTAGGAAGGATCTCAATGTAGCCATTTTCGCGAAAAGAAGTGACCAAACATATTTTTACTCCATACTGCAATCAAAATCCAACAGAACGCAAAGAGTTATGACACCAGCAGAGTGGCCCACCAAATGATGTGTATATAGGAAGCTTAAGCAGCATAAGAAAGAAGAAACCGTTAAAGCAACTTCAGAAAGCAAGAGTCTAGAAATCCTTTAGGTGGAAAATCTCCAGATCTAACCTAGTGATTTAGAGGCTAATAAAACTTGATAAAATGTAATATAATTTCTCTATATCCATTATAGGTCCCTGATCATGTAACCTTTGATTCTCGAACCTTCTATGTTCTCCAAAATTTACTGTAACTTTGCGGCAAGAATAAACAAGTTCACATTCGTGAAATTCTGCATCCACACAAGGTGGGTTTTTAGGAAAAGAAATAGCCACTAGATGTCCTGCTTTCTAAGTCGCTTTTACGCTTGGTCCCGTGTCAATGTTCTATTGTTAGTGTAGATGGATTAAGGGGAGGAGATATATTGGAGACTTTATTTATTGATATTACACAATACAGGCTCCTTATGTAAGAATCCTAATCTGGTTAAATTCAAGTACATAGTTATTCTCATACAGTAAAGTAGAGAATATCCTAGAATATCATATAAAATATTCTACACTGTTCTAGTAATCAAATATAATAAATCTGGACAAATTAATCTAGAAATATCTACCATATAAACTACACGTACTTTTTTGGCAGAATGGCCTAATAGCCCCCTAAACTTGCATCAAATTTTAAAGCCAACCTATCAACTTCTAATTTTTCCATTGTAACACCTCTATACTTGATAAAATGAGTATTAATAAATACTTTTGACTGTCGACCATGCTTATGTGGGTGATGACGTAGTTGACGTGGCCAAAATACGTGCAAATCACACTAGTATTGTTATAAATAATAAAAAGACAAAAATAAAGAAGAAAAATACTACTCCCCTTCTCACTCTTTCTTCCGTCTCCTCCCACGTCCCATTCCCCTTTCTTTCCCTCATTTCCTCTCTTTCATTAAGTCCCTCCCCCCCAAAAAAAAATAAAAATAAAAAAAACCTCTTCCGCAACCAGCCATGGGGTCTGGTTTTTCCTAAATGACTCTCTTCACATCAAAGGGTTTGATTTTTTCTGGGGTTTGGTTTTTGTGAAATAAGGGGGTGATGATGGTTTATGAATGGGGTTGCTGTTAAAAGCTCCGACCTGGTCATTGATCCTCTCTTCCTTTTTTTCTTTATTTTAATTTTTGTGGTGTTTTAATCTGTTTGGTCTCTACAAGTGGGCGGTGGCAAAAGGTTCAAGCAAGTAGCTATTTCTTTGGATGGTGCTGTCCGTAAAGAGACAGTAATGAGAGAAGGACAGAAGGAGGATTTTCATGCGAAAGGAAGTATTCGAGGAGCTCGGTTGGTTTGGATTTGCCAAAGGCATTTTTCCGGTGACAACCTCGCTAGAGTGATTTTGGGATTGTTATAGAGGATTCTGATGGTCCGTCCAAGCAAATTTTTGGATTAAAACTTGGTTAGCATATATATTAGGATCTGAACGGATTAGATTTGGATTCTTATGGTTGAAAATGGTGGCAGTAGGATGGGGGCTGTCTTGGTGGAACTGTGATGAAGATGAAGAGTAAGAAGGAGAAATTAAAATTTTTACTAGTATTTTGATTTTTTTTAAAAGGTAGGACCCACAAATTACACATGTCAAATAATAAAAGGACAAGTATGTGATGCACCATTCTGTCAACACGATTGAGAAACACGCTCATTCAAAGGTGTTTATTAGTTGTGCTTTTATCAAATAGAAGTGCTAAAATGGGAAAAACAGAAGTTGATAGGCCAGCTTTAAAATCCAGTGCAAGTTTTAGGAGCTGTTAGGCCATTCTGCCTTTTTTAATTTTCAATATTTTCGTTAAGGGATTGATTTCTTCAAATCACTATCCTTTCACCCTGAAGGAAAGATAGAGAACAATAACCTACCTAGGTTCAATCTCGAAATCGTCGTGGTTGCCTATACAAAGTCTTTATCCATTCAGTTCTATTCAGAACAATTTTATTCCAATACTAATATGCGTTTCAAGACAAATTACGGGCTTCTAAAACTAAAGATTCTCTAAATCTCACATTTGTTCCTACAATTACATACTATCTCTAACCAAACTAAAAGCTCCTAACAAACATCATAATTAATCTAAGTGTAACAAAGCTAAGCTTTAATTCCAACTATTTGGTATAACCAATATGGATCCTTTACTTTCTTTGTGTTTTACTCTTAATAAGTTTTACATTAGTTATGATAGATTGTAGATTTTTCTAAACAATTTTCTTTTATGTGATTTTAGATTTATTTTGTCTCCCTATTAGCACATTTAATCATTATATTCTCACTCCTCTGCAAATCGAGGTCTACATAAAACACGACCAAACCATCTCAAACGACTTTCTTTTATGTTATCCTTTATGTTGCTCGGACTCTCTAGAAATGTTGTCACACTCGTCTAAGATCCTCCAAAAATGCACTACTCTTGGAGGATCTGACACGCACCCGACAACATATTTGACGAGTCCGAGCAACATAGGTGCTTATCCTGTATGTGTTACTTGCTCCTCCTACTTGATATGATCATTTCTAATTATTACGTGTCCCACATTGCTTAAGGGAATGGATTGTTTCTCCATATACAGTCTTGGACGATCCACATCTCATGAGCTAGCTTTTGGTGTTGAGTTAGGCTAGTGTCCATCTTCCTTACATAATACCATAGCCATGCTCATCCTTATTCTCGGTTTATCCAAAGTTGGGCCCCCATGATATATTATCCATGTACCAAATGTCCATTCCTGCGCCAGAGGAGGGGGTGTTAGGTATCCCATGTTGGTTGAGTGGATGAATTGTTATCTCCTTATATGATCATGGGGCAATCCTGACCTCATTAGCTAGCTTTTGAGTTGAGTTAGGCCAACATTCATCTTCTTTATACTAATCTTGTCTAATTTTGATGATCGCGCATTCTTAATATCTGTATACTATCTACAACATTACCAACATTCATTCTCAAATAACAGTTTGTCTTGTAGCATCCTACAGAACTTGTCTTTCACTCTATTATATATCTTCTATCACACAACAATTCCGTAGCATTCCTCCATTTCAGCCATCTTATTTTAATTCTATGATATGGACCTAAATATGGTCACTTGTTCCAAGTTAAATGTTCTGGGAGAACCTCAGTGACTGAGAGTATATTCTCTTCCAAAAGGCGTAGCGTCTATCTAAAAGCACACGTGCCTGTGGGCTGTGAGGGATTATAGTTTGACCATTTGTGAATGGCGGCTATGCTATATCATTGATAGCAAATTTTCATATTAGTCGACTCGTACAGCACCACGACGAGATGCCCTAGTAGATGGGGGACAGGTGCTCCGACTCTATGAAGTACACATGGTGACAGTTTATGTCAATGACTATAAGGACTCTCCAGTTAAAGTAAAGTTATATGTTTGTAGGATGTGATATCACAGTATCAACTTATGGTTATAAAGAAAATCACAGTACTTATACAAACCCTAATATCTTCGTCTAATTTAATCTAGATCACTAGCAATATTATAAAGGCGACCTTATGGGTTGTAAATGTGACTTCTACCTGCACATGGTAGCACAGTTTGACATGGGACTTAGTTCTCACAGTATTGACTAGTCTCCAACTGCTCTGCTCTGATATAATATCAGCAATTTGATTCCATTCCTAGTTTAGAAAACTACTGAAATTCATTTTTGCTCATCTAGAAAAATTTAACAAGACAACTTAATGAATTTGTTTTCACGCTTTTAAGAGGATTTCGTTCTTACTAGAAAGCTACATTTTGCTCATCTAACAGGATTTCCTCTGAAAAGTTTCCATGTCCTTGTTATTTCTAGGGAACAACCAAAACAATTGTAAGTTATAAACCACCCAAACATGCTATACTGATTTGATGTCGGACGGGCACACATCCTACTTATTATAGAGCACATTTTTAGTTATAAAGCTGTCTTACAATGATCCACACCTGCTTACACATGTATTGAGTTATGTCACTGAAGCAGTTTGATAAAGAAAAGAGAATCTCACTTACTCTATCTGCAGCTGCCTGGAGAGTGATATGATCTCCCCATTCCCCCAACCTGGGTTGAACAAGAAATACCTCAGTTAATGGACTGTAAGGTCTTCTCCAGGTAAGACTATAGATTGAAACCAGAATTCACCTCTTCATCTTCTTCCGGTAGCTTCTGTATTTCATGGGAACATAACTTTCATATAACTTTCTGAAATGCTTTAGCTGAAACAGAACAAAAACCAAGATAAGCACATAGGATAAATGGAGTTAGAACTTAAATGGATTTGGAATCTTAAGGATCATATTTATGGGGCACCATTCCGAGCCATTAGGTCAACCTCATAAACTAACAAGTCTTATAAAATATTGCGAACTGTTATGAGAAAACAAAATGGTTTTTAGTATCCTACTATTGTGTATAAGTAGCCATCCTTCGAAAGATGAGTGCAAGGAAAACTCGAAGAGAAATGTCAAAATGAGACCTACTAAAGAAAACCTCATATTGACCATACAATGTTGTCACAATATTTGATCTGAGAATAATTGACTTAACAACATTTGCATGTCACTGGACAATAATCCAATGTATAGTTGTTTGATGTGATAGCAGCAGAGATCTTGACCTATTTCCTGAACTTATACTTCTAAAATTTAAATATTCATGTGTTATACTCAAGAGGAACAAAAGTTGGTTCTTATCATAGAAAGAATGAAGAAAACCAAAAAAGTACGTGGAATGAGGTAAGACAATGATACAAAGTATTAGGTAAATCTGGGGTTAATAGGGTTGGCATAGTTCCTATTTTTTTTAGGAAGGGGGTTGACATCGTTCCTATTCGGCTATTCCCTAAACATTTTAGAAAGGGCTCCTATTCCCTAATCATAGTTTGGCAAAGGTTGAAATCCTATTTTTTGGGATCAATATTGATCCTTCTTTCGTTGATAAATTAAGGTCAAATTATTAAAGTTAGTACCAAGGAGGAGGTAATGCAAAACTAGAGACAAAAAGTCTTACAATGACTCCATTACAGTTTCTTCATTAACAAGTCCAAGAAGTCTAGAAGCTGTGCTAAATGTTCTAACATACTCTCCTTCCACCAGACATACAAATTGTACATGCATCTATATTTTACAAAAGATAAATGCTGTTTTTATCTTCCAAACATCTCTTATTCCTCTCTAACCATATTGTCCATATGATGAGGGGTTCAACCTTGAGGTTCTGAGCATGAATCCATTACACTTTTGAAATTATAGTTCTTTTTTTCTTTTTGCAATTTTAGTGAATTCTCACATATATATCTATACTTAATGTTGAAAATACTGGGATTACTCTAACCCATCGACTATATGCTACATTATCCACCGCTGCTAGTTTTACTATAAGCATTTGATCTAATTATACAAATTTTATGGTGACAAAAGAAAGAACATGAATTTCATTGTGTCAGACTAGAGTAAGGCTGTCCAACGGGACGGGCCGTCTTGTCCCGGCGCACTTAATTCTAAACGGGATGGGCTCATGTTAAACGGGACACGGGATAGCCATTTCGTCCCGTTTATCCCGTCCCGTCCCGCGTCCCTTTGTTTTTTTTTTTGAATTATAGCCGTTGGGCAACGACTTCAATTGCAAAAATAGCAGTTCCCAACGGCCAAAAAGGGCCATATTTGGCCCCCACCCCACCCAAAACACCCCTACCCCCAAACTTTTAATATAACCCCTAAGTTTATTAAATTACACTTTGGCCCTATTTTCTACTATAAATACCCCATCCTTCTTCATTTTTTCCCACAAAAATCAATCATTCTCTCTCAAATCTCTTACATTCTATCTATATTATTCTCTCAANCAAGTGATAAGTTTCAAGTATTTGGGCAAATTTTTGGAGCAACTTTCAAGCTTCAAATTAATTCGTCAAGTATTTGGAGCAATAGTTTGGGCAATTTCTTCAAGTTTCAATATTTAATTACGGTGCACTCGTTCCATCTCCTAATTTTAATATATAATTTTTGCGCATCATTTTAGTGCTTAATTTTTGTGTTTACTTTACGTGTTCTATTTTCGTATTTCATTTGTGTGTTTAATTTTTGTGTTAACTTTTTAAATTTAATTTCGTATTTAAATTATGGCACCTAAAAATGTATTTGGCGTATTTAAAAAAACTAGTAAAAAAAGTAGTAAAGGTGAAAGTAGTAGTAATCCTAATCCTAACCCTTCTCCTAGAATTAGAAAACATATAGATGAAATTTGATGAAACTTTATTTTCCCAATCCCCGCATGTTATAATATTAATTTCGGAGAACAACTAGATCATGAAACTTTACAATGACAATTTGGCAATGATATTTTTATTGAGGATGTAGAAAATGAGGAAGAAGAATTAAATGAAACACCCACTAGTCCCGCAACACAAGCTCCAACTCAGAGTCAATCTCGGTCTGGAGCTTTACCTCCTGTACCTCCTGTAAGGGGTAAGCCTAAGGGTGAACGTCCCAAAACATCACTTGTATGGAAATGTTTTAAACATGACAAGAGTGGGTTGCTCTAGTGGTGAGCACCCTCCACTTCCAACCAAAAGGTTGTGAGTTCGAGTCACCCCAAGAGCAAGGTGGGGAGTTCTTGGAGGGAGGGAGCCGAGGGTCTATCGGAAACAACCTCTCTACCCTAGGGCAGGGGTAAGGTCTGCGTACAAACTACCCTCTCCAGACCCCACTAGCGGGATTATACTGGGTTGCTGTTGTTGTTGTTGATAAAGTCAATCAACGTGCTACATATGAAATATGTAAGCAACGATTTGCGCACACCAAAAGTGGTGGGACGGGGGGTTTAACTAGGCACTTAGATAGGGACCACAAAGTTTTATGGATACAAGCTAAAATAGAAGCCGGATAAATACCGGATCCTAGCACCGGTACTGGCACTCCTAATGGATCTGGCGGGGGTTCTAATTTTTTACAACAGCAGCTTGACCCTGCTTCTAGTACTATTTTATGCCCCTATAACAAAGATAGAGATCGTGAGAACTTAGCAAAAATGGTGGCTGTCTGTGGCTTACCTTTTACTTTTCCTTCTCACCCTGCTTTTGTGCATTATATACAAAAAACTTATAATCCTGCTTTTCAAGGTTTTTCTAAGACCACGGTTAGAAATGATGTTTTTAAATTTCAAACCGAATATCTTAGTTACTTAATGGCTTGAAATTATATTAAATAAATTATAACTCTATTATAAATTTATAATTACTAAAAAATTTCATTAAAAGTCTTTTGTTTTAATATTTTATAATTCTTTACTTAGTTTCCTAATTTCCGTTTAACTTTTAAGTTTATTAAATAAGTCAAAAAACTAGCCGTTGCAAACCATAAAAACTTAGTCATTGTCAAAACAATAGTCGTTGCCAAACTTAATGCTTAAATTTTTTTTTTAAACGGCACTTAAGGCCCGCGAACCTGTCCCGTCCCATTCCGTCCCATCCCTTCCAGTTAGTTTTGTCCCGTCCCGTCCCGTTGGACAGCCATAGACTATAGTATTTTGAAAGAATAAACCAAACAAAGTCAACAGAAAAAGAAAAAAAATACTTAATTAAAAAGCAAGAGGGGACACATGACATGTCTGTCCTCCGGAGTGCCCAATTCTAGAAAAAGAAAGGAAAGAACTAGACAGGCGTGAGATATAAATCCCCGAGCTCAATTCCAGAAAAAGAAAGGAAAAAACAAGATAGACGTGGGATTTGAAATCCCAACTTTACTTGTAAAGGTGCACCCAATAATCATTAAACCATAGGACTCTTTGAGCTTGGGTGTGCGCGCGCGCGCGCACACACACACACACACACACATAT